GCACCGGCGTATAAGCCGCACAGACCGCAGCGGTTTCAATGCTCTGGACCAGTTCCATATACGCTACGAAAGCTATAAAGAGGGCCACACAAGTTATATCAAAACATTACGGTCGATGCTCGTTAAAAAACATATGGAAATTGACGATGAGAAATAAACACCGGGAATTGCTGCTGGCTTGCCTGGCTGGTCCCCTGCCTAAAAGTTAGGGCATGGCCCGGCAGCACGTGAGTCAGCGAATGACAACATTTTCCCGCATCACTCGGAGTATGCAACCCACAGTGTGTTGTCTGACTGGAGCACTACAAATCTTGTTTTGTGGCAACAGATGCTGATTTGTTTTGTCCTAAGAATAAATAGGTCCTTTTTTACAACAAAACTTATCAAATTGTTGTGATTACTAACGACTGTAGTAACATAAAAAAAATCCAGTTTTCGACCGTACTTTCTTCAAAAACCATCAACACGATGCAGGCTTCCTTATGGACGAATCCATTAATTTAGGGAGGGGTGATTTAGCCCCTGTTTTGCGATTTACATCGTTTCTTGAATACATTTTCAGAAAAAAATTATGTTTTGACGTTGAACAACTGATTGTCCAATAAAGAATCCATAAAAACTCCATAAAGGTATATGTTGTCTTGTTTTTTTAAACAGCGGAAAAATATCGGTAATTATTGTTACCGAAAAAGTACACCCCTTTATTACCACAAATGGTGTGGGCCACACATCAATGTACAGCATGCAACGGAGACGGCTTTTACTCGTACTCACGCATGGCTGGCCAGCAGGCCACACTTTTGGTACATTTTTGGGACGTACTTCTACTTATTGTTAATGACTCTCCGGTACCTCAAGTCCGGTAACGATTGATAATTCATTTTCAGCAACAGATCTTTTCTTATACCAGTACATAAATACACATTTGAATCTCATTTTTATTCTTCAAGGCTCGGTGTATAAGCCGCCCTGTGTATAAGCAGCAGTAAACATTTTCACGGGCAAATTCAACGTATAAGCCGTGGCTTATATTCCGAAAATTACGGTACTCAACAAACTGACTTTTTATATCAGCAGTGAAAAAGGACATATTGTCAACAACATGGGTGTGGGTATATAGTCATCAAGTTAGAAATTGTTTAGTTTTAAAATCGTTTTATATTAAAAAACATAAGTATAGATAATAAGCCAATAAGCCAGATTTTGTCACAATGCATGTATTTTGACAAAATCCTTTATACTTGGCAAACACGGGTCTGCTGCTTCTCAGTTACACTGTCCTGTACATGTAGTTTATTATGCTGTCTCCGACAGCTTTCATAATTGTTGGCATATTTGCTCATATATACACTCAATCTGCCCCCCTCTGTGGAATTAAAACACTTACAAACTTTGGGTATTTCAAAAGTTGGGATCCTGAGAAGGATCCTAGCACCATAGGCGTAGCCAAGGGGGGGGGGGGGAGGGGGGGGGCCAAGGGGGGCCATGGCCCCCCCTGCTGTAAAAAAAAAAATGACATTTTACCAAAACCCGACGTTAATTACGAGTACGAGTACGAAATACGAGTATGTGTATTTCAAGGATTGTCCGAAAATCATGTAATGGGGCCAGAAATGGCCTCAGATTGCACCACAGAGCATGTAGGATCAAAAATTTCCAGGGGCCCTTAAGCGGGGCCCCGGACCCCATGCCGTATTAAACAGGTTCTTGACCAAGTTGAATACAATTTATGAAAAATTCTTAATACTGTATACGATGTAAACTCAGGCAAAACAAAGGAATATCAAAAACATATAAGGTCGAATAAGAAGAAAAACATGTTTCTCGTCCAGGTTTTTGAAAAAAAGGAGGAAAAGGGGCTTTTTATTTTTTATTTTTTTCAAGATGGCCGCCATTTTAAAATTTCCTGCAACCATTGGTGTTTCCAAAGTTCAAAGACACTTTTAAAAAGAAAGACAAGTCGGACAAGAGAACTGAACATATTTACAGTGTCATTTAGAGTTGTATTTGGTATTGGTATTTATTTTCCTATGAGTTGGTGGACTAGTGTTTGGTGTTTGTTTACTGAATTTTTTCAAAAGTAAAAAATAATAAAAAAATCCAGGCGGCCACCAAAAAGGAAGCGGGTGGGTACGAGAAACATGTTTTTGTTTTTTTACTTTGCCGAAGGCAAAAGAAAAATGTATTTCCCCAATTAACAAAGTCCACTAGACATTTCCAAAGCAGGCAACAAGATGTTCGCTGGTGATCTGGGGGGTGTGGGGCGTGGGGCACCTTTTTTTCCCTTCAAAAAATAAAAGCAAGATGTAGAGAGGGAGAGAGACCCAAACAGAGAAGAAAGGGAAGGTAGAGACACAATTATTAATACGGCAGTTCACGTCAGACCGTAGCCTACTAGGATTAGTTGCACACAAGACAATAGGGGGTCTGTCATACTTTTAGCCTTACGAAAATAAAAAAGCGACAGGATCAAGAACTGCGACAAGACATCGCGTGGCGACGAAACCTATGCTAATATGTTGTACATTACACAGGAAAATGCACCCAGCCCTCTCTATAGCATGCAGGACGCACGGCGGACAAGCCTTTGGAATGGGTGTCAATCGAGGGGGGGGGGGGGGAGACATGTCCTTGAACATTGCACATGTCTTAAAGTCATTGGCGTCAATCCTGGGAGGGGGACAGGGGGACATCCCCCCCCCAACTTTTTGAAGGGTGGGGGACACAATATCAAATGTCCCCCCCCCCCAGATTTTTGAACTAGTGTCTCATTTACAGGGCCCTATTATTATATGCAGTGTATCTTTTGCTAAGAAAATAATGGGTAAAGTGGTCAGAAAATGCATAAGATGGCACCACAGAGCATTTAGAATCCAAATTTTTTGGGGGCCCTTAATAAGCGGGCCCCCGAACCCCACACCTTTAGCTGAAAATAGCTTACTCAATGACTTCAACCTCGAAAATGATGTTTAAATTATTATCTTTTGCAAAGAAAATATTGGTTAAAGTAGGCAGAAATTGCCTCAGATCGCACCACAGAGCATCTAGAATCTTTCTTTTTTTTCGGGGCCCTTCAGCGGGCCCCGAACCCAACGCCTTTAGCTGAGAATATAATAGGCCTAGCTTATTCAATGACTTCAACCTCGAAAATAATGTTTAAATAATATTATAATCTTTCGCTAAGAAAATACTGGTTAAAGTAAATTGCCGCAGATCGCAGCACAGAGCATCTACAGAATCAAACTTTTTGGGGGGCCGCGACCCAAAGCCTAGCTCAGAATAGCTGATTCAATGACTCCAACCGCGAAAACGATGTTCAAATTATTTTCTTTTGCTAAGAAAATATTGGTTAAAGTGGTCAGAAATGGCTTCAGATCACACCACAGAGCATCTAGAATCCAATTTTTTCGGGGCCCCGAACCCCACGCAGTAAGGGCTTCGCGCTTCGCGCTCGCATTAGTTCTGATCCAGGTATGTCCCCCCACTTTTGAGAAGCGATTCACGCCCCTGCTAAAAGTTGGGGTATCGTATCGTTTGTCCCACCCACTTTTTTCATCCCCGAATACATCTTGTAAAGTACAGTTTGATTTTAGAGTTTTCAGGATAGCTGATTCAATGACTCCAAACTCGATGTTTAAATGATGATCTTTTACGAAATAAATTGGTTAAAGTGGTTAGATATTGCCTGAGATCGCACCATGTAGAACATCTAGAATCCAAAATTTTCCGGGGCCCTTAAGCGGGCCCCTGACCCCACGCCACGCATTACTTTTCGTCACCCCCTTCTTTGGCCTTCGGTGTAGGCAACACAACTTGCCTTCATCACTTGCTGCTGGTTACATCATGGAGGAAGGAATTAACCTTCCTCCATGGTTACATTTCACACACACCCTTTTTGGACAATCCTAGTTCCGCCCCTGGTGGGGCGGGGGTTTGTACAGGCCGGTCGGACTTGGCCCCCCCTGCTCCAAATTCCTGGCTACGCCTGTGCCTAGCACTAATCATTCAATCGCAGCAAAAAAAATTAACCAATCACAGCGAAGAGTTTTGATCAATCAGACAAAAGATTGAAGCACTAATGATATGCAACAGTGGAACAATGCAAGCACATGCATTGTGTGTGTCATTCTGTCACAGCACTTTGAGCAAGCGGGATCAATTTGTTTTTGAGCAAGCTGGATCAATTTGTCTGTGAAACAGCAGGAGTGTTTTTAGTGGTTCAGTTTCAGGATTTGTGCAATTATAGCCTTTGGTGTCTCCAATTCTCAAGTCTAGTTGAATTAATTGACAATCATCACTTGAGTGTATTGATAATCTTGGAACTTTGACCTTGGATATATTTTGGTTGTCTCAGATTTCTTCAAATCCAATGGAATTATTTGACAGCATTGGCTCGGGCAGGGAGCTGGCAAAAAGTCCTGTTCCCAGCTTGCAGGGTCTCCAGTGGCCATTAAAATCAGACACTGGGCATTGGGAAAAATTCTGCTGGGAAGGACAGCCATACTCTCTGCCAGACTCAACAATGAAGAGACAGATGTTGTTATCGAAACACCCTTCTAACGCAACATTTTTTTTAACTCCATGACTCGAACCAAAGAATATAACAAGTTTATTTTTTATTTGGACAAAAAACTTATCCGTACAAAGTTTTATTATCTGCACAGTCACTATGAGAAAAGAGGAAAGAAGCCAAGATGTCAGACATGCAGCAAGGCAGTATGGGTTGTCATATAGGAGTGCTATTGTGAAAACTCAAGAAAAGGAACCAGCAGGTAAAGAGGAATATGTAAATGTAGTGGCTCTACAGGTAAGTTGAGTAAAGAAAACATATAAAACATTTGGATCACCTGAGTTCCCGATGGGGTATCTCCTGTCATTTGGACTATTTTGGAGAACCTTAGAAAGCAATTCTGAACATTCTGGTCTATTTCCTCTTAGATGATATCAGTACATGTAAAACAATATCATTTAAAATGATTCAAAGTTTAAAGAGTTCTTACTGAATCTGTTGCGATAAAGAATTGGGTTGGATCTTTCAAAGAAAACTTCATGTTCTTGGCTCGTTGAGCTGGTGGCATGTCCCTGCATATAAGAACAAAATATGATTTATAAATACCTGTGATAGTTTACCCATTCCAAGTCACCTCAGTGGTTTTAAAGTATTTAAAACCAATGATAAACACGGCCCCTTAATCAGGACAACAAATTTCTGCTTCACAGTCAGTAAATGTTGACATCTTCACTTTGAAGGGCACCTCCAATTGGCACATCAAAGATAGATGTGTTTTTAACCTAATTTGATTAAATCATGCATAATATTCATAATTTCAGTATGCACCGTAATGCCATTATGTGTGGGACAATGACATTTTGTCCAAGTAGTACAAAACATCGACATTTAAAAGGATCTCACGTTCATTATGATGTAAAGCTGAAACTGTCCTAGTTTCTCATAACCTTATCATCATATATTAAAATATCCTATGTTGTCTGTCTGTCTGATGTTTGTCTGCCTGCCTGATGTCTGTGTCTTTTTTTAAAGGCCTAATAAGTGTGTAGAAACACAAAATGCAATTGTTAATTGAGAGGCTTGGTTATATACTATCAATGGTTCCTCTGATGGAAAATATATATATATACACTCCGATTTCACTGTCCTCTGAAGTAACAATTGGCTTGTGAAAAAAAAAGATTTAGTTGCTTTGTTTTGCTTTTTGGGCAAATTTGTTTCTTGGAGACTTTGAATAGTTAAATATTACAACATTATCTCTATGATAAGACCCCAAAACATATTGCTATTATGCAAAAATTAATGTTCATGATGAAAAATGTGGCAAAATTGCTTCACCAAGGTTTACCACACCCACTTGGGGTCAACATGCAAATTGAGGTCAACGTAAGACGACTCCACCCAGTTAGCGGGTGCACAGCATCCTTCTAGTGTCATACAAATATGTACATGTCGAAACCAGCTTCATGTCATTACCAAGTTTAAAGTTCACAGAACACATATATAATGCTGAAACTTACAACATACCGATAATTTAAAATCTAAAAAACAGTGTTGGGGAATTCCCTCGACACTTAAAAAATGGCTTCTTAACTGTGGTTTGATTTCAAGTTGTGGCTTGGGAAAAACTTGCTGTGGATGTCAGCATGATGATGTGATTGCAAAGAGTGTGCCTGATAAACTAACCACACATACATATTCTAAACAACATCTTTTCTGATGGTCCCTATTGTGCAAATGTACAGCTGGTTTGAAATAACTGCTCATTCACAAAAACATTATTACACACCTGATTTGATTTTCCAAAACAACAGAAGAACTTTTTAACAGCTTCAGTTTTCCACTTGGAACAAGCCCTGAAAGAGACAATTCAACAGTTAGGTTTCACATGAGCAATTGGTGTGCCATTGGAAAATATTCATGGTTAAACTCCACCTGTAACGTCCCCCTATTGTCCTAGTGCTTCATTTTTTTGCACGAATGGAGCGTTTGGAGGCGATAATCTCCATTCGTTTTGGAAGGTAATAGTCCCTGGGATAGGGCCATTTAATCGCAACATTTTATGATTAATCTTAATATTATTTTCTGTTGTAGGGTACCTTGGGACATCCGAAAATGATGCTCTTAAGTTGCACAGCTGGTATTTTTGCCTTCCAGCTCAAAAAACCTGATATTTTGGGAGCTAATTTTTTGAGAAACAGCTAAACTCATATTTTGGGCCACTGCTCTCTCAAAAATGGTCCCGTTGTGAACTGTTTGCACTTTTTACAATCCTGATAGGATGGGTAAACAAGAAAATACATAGTTGGTCCCAAGTTTATCCGTATTCGTGTTTCCAGGGCATATATTGCTTTGCGGACACCCCACCCCAAATCCTGAAACTCACATTTTTTCCAAAGATACACACTTTTTTATAATTTAAAAACTGCCTGAGACCACAAGCAATATTGGGCACAGAAGTGCCAGAAATATAACGTTTTTTGGCCGTAAAACTGAGAAAATCCCTACTCACCAATGATGAAGGGTGATATAGATAAGAGTGCAGCCAATGGTGCATAAAAAAAGAACCAGACAAAAACAGGAAAAGACAATGTCGTTCCCAGGTCGAGCACAGGAAATGTGGCCAAAAAGAATCCACATCTAACTACACATCAAGTTGGACATAAAAAATGAGTCCCAGCAACACTGAAATATCGGCAACTTTGAGCCAGCTGGCCAAAACTATGACAGATTTGACAAAAGAGGTGAAGGACATGAAACAAGTTCGAAATGGAGAACGAACGTGAAATTTCTCAACCGGCTGCCTTCCCTTACACGGACTATTTTTGTCCGGCCCATGATACCGAATGGGACGATTACTATGGCGGTAATCAGTACTCTGCGGAGGAATATGCAGTGGAGGCACCGAAGCCGCACGATGACGATGAAGGGTCAAAGTGAGCGAGCATCGCTAACGTAAACAACATGGACGACAGCGGTAAAGATAAGGACAGCACTGCCACCGATGTGGATCCAATTGTTAGCAAGTTCAATGAATATCTCGCGGAGTTTATGACTCCAAAAGATGATACATGTGAAGCTGTGTCTGCTTCCCTAGCCAATGGGGTAAACAAAATGTTTCAGAAAGGCATGGATTATGAAGGGTTTCACAAGAAATCAGGGGAGATAAAGCGCCCTGAGAATTGCGCGGAACTTTTGCAGCCAAGTTGAGACTGACGAACTTGTGCACAAGTTACTGAAACATCAGACCAAAAAGTTCGATGAGAGAATGAAAATCATTCAGACTGCGGTCTTTAAAGCGGGCTGCTGCCTCACGACAATAGTTAATGGCATACAGAAACATGTAAACAAGTGTGGGGGCACGTAACCTCCATCCACTGTCCGGCTCCCCGGATACAGGGTTATATTTAGATTGACCTATGTTGTTGTTTACGTGTGACCTATGCAAATGTGGCACTTGTTAACTTAATGTCCCTTCGCTCTAGAAACAAGTAGGTCCATAGTTTTAGAAGTTTTTCTTCTACATTTTCTTCTTATGATTGTATAAGAACTACAATTATGCGTAAGTGGAAGTTCCTTTGAGCATATCGTATAATTTACGGGTGTAATTAATCCGTAACAGCATTTTGTTGAGGGTGCAATAATATTTTAGAGACGCTTGGTGGTGTGTCCAGCCTGATCTTTTTCCTGAGGATCTTTTCATCTTTATTTCGTGTACCATCTTTTACGGGATCCACACATCATACCAGCACATATACTGGGGGAGTTTTGGGATCAACATCTGTCAATTAACTGCAACTGATTCACTCATTGTTATTCTGCTGATATCTACTCTTTGCTGATGTATGCCTGATTAACTTAATTCTACTGATGATTGAATAAATTCTCTATTAATCGCTGAAATTGAACTGAACCGGTGATTCCCTGTGATTCCATCTGGGGCAGCCTCCAACACACTTATCCTGATTTAGTTTGGGATCGAACTCCCTTCATTATGCTGTGACACTGCAGTACTGAAATCACTTTACAAGGAAAACGACAATGCTGTGTTAATGTCAGTGTAAATGTCGCAAATGAGTTGACCGCGGTCGGCATGAAAGGACTTGCGATGCTTGGCCATGGATTTCATAACATTTGCCTACTCCGCCAAGAGCTGCAGAAGCCAGAATTGGCTTGGCGTTATGAGAACCTTTTCTCATCTGATGTAGAGCACAAATGCCTACTTATATGATGGAAACCAGAATGTTGAAAAAAATAACAGCGTTGCTGTTGAAACCCCTCAGCCAGAGTGAAGTTATAATCCGGAAACCATACTGTCCTTGAGTCCATGCATGGGCTGGGAGGGCCCCCGTGCACCCCCCCCCCCCCCCCCCCCGATCCTCCGCGAGTGGTATCATTTTGTTTGGATGACCCGTCTGAATGAGATTCTACATGTTACCAAGGAAACTGTTGGGATGTTTTTGCCTGGCTGCCATTTTTCAAAATGGCCGCCACGCAAATCTACTTTTACCTATATCTTGGTCTCTGAGAGCCGTAGAGGCATGATTCTGATGTCTGTACCCATGTTTTCAGGGCCAAGGAATCAAATAAGAATAGTGGTAACACCTTTGGATCGTTTGGAAGTGGATTGCCATCTTAAATTTCGAAATGGCCGCCAAAATTTCAAAATGGCCGCCAAAATTTAAAAATGTCAGCCAAGCACTTTTTTTCTGCCCATACCCTGGGCTCTGATATTTGTAGGCGACTGTACATCCATGGTTTCTGTGTCAAGGACTCCAATAAGAACAGTGATAATAAAAAGCCACTTGTTTTGGCAGCCATATTTATTTTTATAATGGCCATCATTGCTATTAAAACGACCATCACAACTGTTATTTCATTGTATGGACTACGGAAAGATGTGCACACACCATAAAGATACAACCGTTGAATAAATAATAATAATAATAATAATAATTATAACAACAGGTTCTTATATAGCGTTTTTAACAAAGATCAAAGCGCTTTACATTACTACATAGCTGCCAACTTTTCAAAATCCAAATAAGTAATCAACCCACGCGGTCATTTTCAACTGCTCGTACATTAATAGTCAAATTACTCGCACAAAATACAAAGTTCCTCCAAAAATTTCCAAAATAGTAAGAATTCTATGGTTATTACATTACTGGTCAATTTTCTATTACATTACTGGTCATTTTTTTGTTATTACATTACTGGTCAATGTTTATTACATTACTGGTCACTTCAATTAGTACATTACTGGCAAAAGTTATTACATTACTAGTTGATATTACATTACTGATCAATTTTTATTACATTACTGGTCGCTATTACATTATTGATCCATCATTACATTACTGGTCATAACACCCGAGTAAAACCCGTATTTTATGGGGGGAAATCGTACGGTCGTATTTTCAACAAATTCCCATACGAAATATGGCAGAATCATACCAGTTGGCAGGTCTGCAAATACTAAATCTGGGAAAGTAAAAACTGACAAATATAAGAATCCGATCAATTTAGAATAAAACAGGGACTGACCTAGAACAAATAGCAATATAATTTATGTTAATGCTATCATGCTAAGGAAATATCACTTTTTAACATACTGAAAATCTAATTTCATCAAAGGAGTGGAAAAGTGCTTTTACTCACTTTTTCGCTACTAATTTTTCATCATCAATTTTTCAGACACGACTGATCACAGCCGACGACTTTTCTATAGACACCAATTATTACAATTTATGGTAATTTACGCTGTCGCCAAATACTATAGGATATTTTCTTGGAAAAAATCAAGAAATTTGAGATTTTTGTATGCCCAAATTATTAAGAAGTAAAAATAAATCACTTTCTGCTCAATAAATCATTTGTTTCATGGAAAATCTTTGCATAAACAAGTCTACTTGAAACTAGGCCAGGCAATGATAAACACAAAGAGATCCATTTAAAGTTAAAATCTAAGTGTCTACGCCAATAGGCCAGAGTCCAATTTTGTGATGAATTCAGGTCATTGGCAAAAGGGGCCATTCAAAATATTCGATGTTTTTAAATTTTCGATCTTAAAATATTGATTTTCCATTCAATAAAATACATAACGAATGTCCAGTTCAGTGACAGCGGAATGCAGCTGCAGTCCATATACAGTACCTTTGCAACAAGACGACCCACTGGCATTCCCGTACGTATAGGGAATCCACCTGGAAACACGTAAAACTCTTGAGTCCATTCTAAACGGTAAAAATAAGTATCAGCTCGCTGTAAAAAACAACAACTTTTGTCTTGTCTAGCCCTACACATGACCTCGAGCCATTTGAAATCTCCATCCAAGGCCAACCGCTGGAACAGGTTACCCGTTTCTGTTATCTTGGCAGTATCCTGAACTCAAAGGGCAACGCTGATGATGATGTTAGTAACAGAATACAAGCCACTCATGGTGCATATGGCCGTATGTACCATCGAGTATTTGGGCAACATGGTCTGAAACCCTCTACCAAGCTCCAGGTCTACCAAGCAGTTGTTGTATCGACCCTCCTGTACGGTAGCGAGAGTTGGACTCTCTACCAACGTCACATACGTGCACTTGAACAATTCCACCAACGGAAACTCAGGGCTATTCTTGGTATTAGCTGGCAGGACAAGGTCACAAATTCTGAAGTCCATGCTCTTAGCAACATCCCAAGCATTGAGGCCATCGTAGCTCGCAATCAGCTTAGACGGCTTGGTCATGTTCAGAGGATGGAAAATAACAACCTCCCAAAGCAAGTGTTCTATGGCGAGCTGACGTCAGGGAAGCCACCACGCGGTGGGCCTCGGAAACGCCTCAAAGATCTATTCAAGAACACCCTCAAACGGTGTGGTCTTAACAACTGAGAAACCCTAGCCGCCAACCGCTCCTCCTGGCGTAGCAACATCCATGCTGGTGTTAAGCACTTCGAACAGTCCAGGATTGCCTCACTTGAAGACAAACTCCGAAAGCTGAAGGAAAGGGCCAGCATCATGGGCGTCGCGAGGGGGGGGCAAGGGGGGGCACTTGCCCCCCCCTGGAAAAGCAAAAAAAAAAAAAAAAAAAAAAAAGGAAGAAAAAAAAAAGAAAAAAAAAGAAAAGAAAAAGAGGCGCGACGACAAAGTGGTGTAAATTTAATGAGTTGGGGGGGGGGGGGGGCAAAATGTCCCTGCCCCCTCTTAAACTGATAAATCGAGAATGTGTTGAGAAATACACGCATTTTTGGGCAAAAATTTTTTTTGCCCCCCTCTAGAAAAAATCCTGGCGACGCCCATGGCCAGCATCCCCAGATCACCACCTAAGCTGAACTGTCCTAGAGGCGGCCGCCTAATCCGCTCACATCTGGGGCTCTACAGCCATATGCGGACCAAAGAAGGAACCTGAAGAGAGATCTTAGCGAACAACTCCTCGTTTCGAGGAAAGCCAGATGACGACGACCATGCGCTTGCATGCAGGTTGCCTAAGTAGTCTTGAACACAATTAGGTTTATTTTGTTGTCGCGATTCGTAACGGACACTCATGGCGTGTATTAAGACAAAATGAACCTGGTATCCCGCTCCATTTGCACGGCGCACTGATTTTACGCATGTTTAAGTCTAACTTTACTGGTCCCCATGCTTATGGTGCTTCGATGGATATATACACAATACACGATACATTGTACATGTACCGGATGCATACTGTACCCGTACGGTACGGTACAGGCAAAGGGTTTACGAATCGGAACACGGAGAGGTGAATTGGCAAGTCAAAAGGGCTATTTTCTATCTTTGTAATTGAAAAAGTGAATTTCGTTAACAAAAATTTCAATATATTTCAATAACCCACCCACATTTTCTAAATTTTTTTTTGAAATTTAAAAACACCGAAATTTTTTAAAGGCACCCATTGAATGGTACCCATCTTCCAAATGGGGGCGCTCTTCAAAACTGACAATTATTATTCAGACTGCAAATTACATGCCCATTTTCATGGGGCATTGTAATGTTTTGTTAACAGGTTTTCTTTTTTTGTCCAAACTCTCTAACCATTTTTGAAAATAATTTCTGAAAACAAATATTTGTACAAAAAATTCCGCCGGCAAGGTGCCCCCCTGCACCCCCCTCTGGATATGCCACTGTTATATAGGCATGCAAATCGAAGCAAGTCACCAGACAAATTGTTGGAGGACAAAACGTCCCAAATTTTAATCTCAAAAAAATGCTTGAAAAACACCATTCCTCTCCAGAGAAACAATTACATTTTGCACATGCTGTTTGTGTATTTATTTCAATTTGTTTGACGCTTGAATGTTTCCTTTGGAATTTGTTTTAGGTCTGAACTTAAATTGACCGGACTATAAACTGCAATACAGAGTGAATGATCAATAAATAATGCTTTTCTTACCAAGATCTGTCTCAGAACCTCCAGAATCTGTTGTTCCCAGATCTAAAACAACCTTGTAATAATAATGATAATAATAATCATCATTAAAACCTGGTAACTAAAAAAAATGTGCAATAATAGTGATTTCAATTTTGAACACTGCAGCTCTCTTTGCATTGAAGGTGGCAAAATCCCCCCCCCCCCCACAGAAGTGTGGTTGGGGTCTACGAACGAATACTTACCTGTAGAGCAACACTACTTATGCATATTCCCCCTACCGGCAGGTATTTTCGCTAAGAGTTATATACAATAGCGCCCTCCGGCGCCCTACCCATAACACCCCGCGGCATGCGTGCCTCGTGAGCGTCCTCTTTTCTCGAGCGTTAAGTCGGAATACAACAAAGTACCCAAGGCATCGAGAAGAGTGGGGTAGGAGGGAGGGATGCTCTACAGGTAAGTATTCGTTCGTAGACCCCAACCACACTTCTGTGGGGGGGGGAGTCTACTTCACTCTACTTACCTGTAGAGCAACACTACTTATGCATAGACTAGCACCGTCAAGGAGGTGGGCCATGCGAGATGCTATTGCTTACTCACAGGGGCATGAAACATGGAATGTAACCCCAGATGGCTCCCACTGTTCCGTCCAAAGGCGGACAGGGGAAAAACCAAGAACTGTACATGTAAAGGATATTAATTACCCTCACATGTTAATCGAGACGTCAGCCCTCGTTAGGGGGAACGTCTCATAATGTAAAGTATTATATAATAATAAATATAATATATAATACAGTTGAATCCTGCAAAGAAGAGTACTGTTAGTACACGACACTTCTTAAAGCAAGTTCTAAAACACTTCAAACCAAGCCCATGCACAAGGTAAACTGTATAAAAAGAAGGTAACTTGTCCAAGACCAATGACCTTATTACAAGAGTGTTTAGCTATACATTTATATTCAATACAATGTAATGTATAATGTAAATAGCCAGGATGAGGAGACTCACCTATTCTAGGGAAGCCCCGGGTAGGAGAGGATCCTGTGGACCTGATGATGCTCGGCTCGCCGCCTTCAGCACCACTCTCCCGGCTCTGCCTTCCGTCTGGAGGACATCCTTCAAATAGCACTCTGTAAAGGTGTTGGGGGTTTTCCAACACGCTGCCTGTGTGATATCTTTAATAGAAACACCCTTAAAAAAGGCCCAGGAAGTAGAAGCTGCCCTGACCTCATGTGCATGGACTGACCCAACGGAATCTGTTGTTGGTGAGTCTATTGCTGATTTGATGGCCGTAACCAACCAGCGGGAAATTGTATCACGCGAGGCCGGTCGGTATGGTGGAGTCGTTGTTATAAACAGCTGTGAATGGCCGCTTCGGAGCGTTTTAGTTCTATCAACGTACCACTTCAGGGCCCTGACCGGACACCAAAGTCTGTCACCAGAGACAGACGAAAAGGATTTGATGTCCGGCACAAAAATGTCAGGAGGTGAAAATGATTCTGACTGATTTTTGGTCAGAAAACCTGTTTTAGGAACCAGGCGAACACCCCCTGGTTCCCACCGGATATGACCTGTCTCCACCGTAAGCGAATGCAGCTCGCTACGTCTTCTAGACGTAGCCACTGCTAATAGAAATGACACTTTAACCGACAGCTGCACCAAGGTTGAGCTGCCCATTGGTTCAAACGGGGGTCTCGATAAGGTTGATAAGACAGCAAAGAGATCCCACGATGGTAATAGCCTACGTGTCGGGGGGCGTGACACAAACATCTCCTTGATAAGTTGGCTAAGATTCTGATTATCTGACACCGAGGAACCGTCAGAGAAACCTCCATGAATAGCCGCTATAGCCGAACGATAATTCTTAACTGTGGCTGTAGCAAGATCACTGTCAAAGAGGCCTGCTAGGAAGTCTGCAATCTCTCCTATAGAAGTATCGGAGGGACGCAGAGACCTGGCTCTACACCATTTGTAAAAATGGTGTAATCTACTGTTATAAATTTTCCTGGTAGACTCCCGCCGGCTGCAGGCTGCAATGGCCGCAGCTCGTTCAGAAAGGCCCGCCGTGCGGAAGGATTGCTTGATAATACCCAGCACGTCAGGTGGAGATCCTCCGGGGCCGGGTGAAGAAAACCCGAGCTGGGCTGGAACAGTATGTCTGCCCTCTTCGGAAGAATCACCGGGCGGTGAACCAAGAGCTTGATGAGTCTCGGGAACCAAGGCTGGCGTGGCCAAAATGGAGCTATGAGGAGGATCTTGCACTCCTCCTGTTCCACTTTGGTCAGTACTCGCGGTATGAGGGAGAACGGGGGAAAGGCGTACGCAAGTAGTCTGTCCCACCGTATTGCCAGTGCGTCTGTCTGCCATGCGCAAGGGTCGTTGTGTCTTGCGCAGTATACCGGTAACTGGTGGTTGTTTCGAGAGGCAAACAGGTCGACATGAGGCCGATCGATCAACAGAAAAAGTGATTGGACAACCTGCGGACGCAGTGTCCATTCCGTCGGAACGACCCACCCCCTGGAGAGAGCGTGGGAGATGAGTTGCCACGAGTGTTACTCCGTGGTCCATACACCAGTGGAAGAGACTCCACGTGAGCGCGCATAGTTGGGCGGATCGCGTGCCTCCCTGTCGATTGATGTAGGCCACTACTGTGGCATTGTCGCAACGAATGTTGACTACCTGGTTTGTCACTGATGCTTGAAAACGTTGGAGAGCATTGATGACTGCCAACATCTCCAGCACATTTATGTGCTTCGAGCACTCTTTGGGCCCCCACCGACCCGCTACTTGGCGCGGGTGGAGGGTGGCCCCCCAGCCAAAAAGTGACGCGTCTGTCGTGATGGTCACTGACGGCCTGGGATTGTGAAAAGCGCGCCCCTCCGTGAGATTGGCATTGTCGAGCCACCAACGGAGGTGCGGTATTAGCCAAGGTGTGGTCGGCACCAGATGACGTATGTGATGACGACTGGGCCGATAGAAGGACAGCAGATGTAATTGGATGGGACGCATCCTTAGTCTGCAAAAGTTCACCACATCTACCATACTGGCCATAAAGACCGAGCAACCTTAGCCAGGCTTGCGCTGGGGCCATGGTCGTCGGGAGAAACAGAGACACACACTGTTGGAGATTTACAATTCGTTCCTCCGTAGGCCGAACCAATCCCCTCCGGAGATCGAGTGACGCTCCCAGAAAGATTGGGAATTGGGATGGATGTGGATGGGATTTCTCGGCGTTGATAATAAACCCGAGATCCGCCGCTAGATGCCAAGTCAGATTGAGTGCCGCCGACGCGGCCGTCTGAGATTGAGCAAGAATGATCCAATCGTCCAGATACATGAAGATCATCACACCTTGTTTTCTTAATGCGGCCCCGATTGTCTTCACCACACGCGTGAAGACTCGGGGTGAGGTGGCTAGACCAAACGGAAGAACCATGAACTCGTACTGGACGTTCTCGTACTGAAAACGAAGAAACTTCCAGTGGTCTGGTCTGACAGGAATGTGTAGATACGCATCTTTCAGATCGAGACTGGCTCCCCATGCAGGTGTACGAATCGATTGGAGTATGATGTTGAGCGTATCCATGCGAAAATGTCTTGAAATGGCCGAATAAATTTGTTGAGGGGTTTTAGATTTAAAATCGGGCGCCACATGCCGGCCTCCTCCTTGGGTACCAGAAAGAAGGTCGACATGAAGCCCGACCGCGTCTCCCCCGGAGGGAGCGGGCGATCTCCCCTTCGAGGGAGAGACGTTTGGTAGGATCGGACGGAACTACCGTCGGTCGAACGACCATGTCCGACGGGGGGGTGCTCGAGAACTCGAGTGCGTAGCCGCACCCGATCGTATCGAGCACCCACCGGTCGGACGTAATTAAACCCCAGGACCCCGCAAAGTCTCGGAGACGGCCTCCCACGGGTCCGATGGCGGGAGGCCGCCACGAGTCTACTAAGTCACTTGCGCCAGCCCCCGGGATAGCGGGGGGCCGGTGCCCGGAAACCACGACCGGATTGGGGCTGTTGTTGTCCAGAGAACGTGCGGGCCTGCGTGGCGCGCGCACCGGAAGAATTGTCCGTGCGGCCCCGAAAACCACCGCGACCAGATTTCAGAGGTTTGCGGCGGGGAATGACAAATGTTTTGCCCTTACCACGCTGTTGTTTGGACGCCGGTGCTGGAGGCTTCTTGAAGTTGATTTTCTCCGTCCTTCAGACGTTTGGCCTCATCTCGCATCTGATCTTTGAATTTCCCGTCAAATAGATCCGTGCCCGTCAGGGGGAGATCTTCAAGTCTTTTTCGAGCACCCTGCGACGGGAGGAACAGTGCATCGAGCACGTTACCCCGGCGGGTGGACGTTGATAGGGCCGACACTCGTGCGAATTGATCAAGCACTGAGCGTAGACCATGGTCAAGGCAATGAAGGGCCGCAGTCAGCATATCCGCTGGAATCGGCGAGTCCTCTTCATAGCCCACGGCTAAATATTCAGTAAGAAGAAGTAAGAAAGACGTTGACCGCGAGCCAAAACGTGAAGCTGTGTCTATCTTCTTCAAAACGTCTTCAAGTTTACAACGTGATTTGTCCGCAAAGGGTCGCTTGGAAGACGAACCACTCTCATCGGCCGCAAGTTTATCTTTTGCTGCGTCGGGGAGAGTAGGCGGAGTGAAAAACTTCGCAAAATCTTCAGCTGGGAAACGAAAATAATCTCGTTCCCGTCTGAGAAACGGACGCCATCTATCCGTTGACATGATGTTGTTGATATGTTCCACGCATACTTGATCTAAAGGAAGTATGGGGAATATTTTATCACTGCTAGATGTGGAGCCCGTCCTTCGCTTGAAAGATTTATGATCGGGCGGAGGGGGCTCATCAGCGGAGGGTTGATGAAGTACTCGTATCATATCCCTCTGTACTAAACGGAGCTCCGTTTCAGAGATAGACAGCCGTTGTAATCGGTCTGGTTCCTCTCGTCATCGATGCTCCGATCACTCAGCCGATTGTGAGGGCCGAGTTGACTCCGGTGAACGAACGTCGTCTGGAGGGGCGAGTTGTACCGAGCCACACGCGCTAGCGGCTGGACAACTTCCTCAGAGCCATACTGCATGGATGATGAATGCTCAATACAGGCGGGGATCCCAGCGTACGCGGTAGGTCCCGCGGCCTCTAATCCACCCAACCGTGGCTCACGGCCGATGCATGCGAGACACTCGCTGCAGGCCGGCCTCCGGTGTACGGTCAACCACGTGTGGTATATCCCGTTGTGCCTGGGCCACCCAACCGTGGCCAACGAACGACGATTGTGAAGTTCTCACCCCAGGCGGGGACGCGGGAGCACGACTAATTGTGTGCGGTATGTCCCTTTGTTCCCGGGCCACCCAAGCGTGACCGGTGACTGAAGACTGCGATGCGGGCCCAACAACCGATGGCTGTGGGCCGTAGTCCACCGCTGCAGGGGCCCCCCAATGGGGCCCGCCCGGCGGCCTGCAGACATAGCCGATAGAGTATCAGAAATCGACTGGAAAGCCTGCAGGAAATCTGCTCTGGAAACCGCGTCCTCCCCCGGGAGCGTTTGCCCCGGCGGGACCGGTCAGAGGAGTCGTCCGACTCCGAAGAAGAACGGCGTGATCGACGTGTAGCCTTCTTCTTACTCTTCTTCTTCTTAGAAGAACGGCCCCGAGGTGTGTCCGAAGAAAAATCGGAAGACAAGACACCTGGGACACCGGGACCCCCGAACAACGGAAAAATTCCGATGATGAGGGTAGT